GGAAAACAGGACTGGGGATAGAGCCCATGTAGATGGGATGGCAAATGAGATCAAAATAGCACTCAGCTCATGGAATTGTGTGAGTTCCTTGAGATAATGTGTATTGAGTGCCGACAGCTGGGTGAAGACACAGTTGGGTCTACAATACATGCTAGTAGCTGGTGTAGATTGCAGTGGTGACTGAACCTGCTTTGATTAATTTTCTCAGCCTTTCTTAGGGCACACATTTCACCTTTGGGGAAGGGAGCTAGGACTCTCTGCTATATCCTACAGCTGGTCAGGGAGACCCTGAGGACAGACTCGGAAGTGGGGCTGCTGAGTATCCAGGGTTGGAGTGGGAGGCCAGGGGAGCTGGTGTCAGTCTGCCCAAGAAGTATGACTAAAATATCCTTGTGGGCCTCCCCACTGTGGGACCCCAGATGGGGCACTGGTCACTTGGTAATATTGCAGGTCTTAAAAAAAAAAAAGTTTTGGATACCATCCATTGAACTAGCCCTTTGGGAAAATAGAATTTCAGAGCTGTGTTCATTTTTCCACCCTTTAATTAACTTTGGGGTTACAGCATTAGTGATGATCCTGGAGGGAAGCCTTTATTTGGCTGACCTATGGGCCTCCCTGACCTTGCCTATAGCCCTGTACTGTACAATCGAGGAACCCCTAGTTCCAGGTGGCTGTTGATGGCTTGAAATGTGGATAGTGTTCTGGAGGATCTAAATTTTGAACATTTAATTTAAATTAATTTAGATTAATTTAAATTTCAAAACTGACACTTGATTCAAGTATTAGGAAAAATTTAACTGTGTTTGGAACCACTTGATTATGTGGGTCTACTTTTCTAAAGATAAATTTGTGAAATCTGAAATTAGATCAAGTATTTCTGGTGAAAATTTAGCATTTAGATTGATATTTGTTGTAAATGTACAATACACACCAGTTCAGAAGACAGTATGAATGTAAAATATCTTAATAATTTTTATTGATTACATGTTGAAATGACCATATTTTGGATATATCGGGTCAAGTCAAGTTTGACATTAAAATTAGCTTTGGTTTTTTTTTTAACCTTTTTATGGTAGCTGCTAGAAAGTTTTAAATTGAATATGCAGCTTGCATTGTGTTTCTATTGGGTAGGGATGCTCTGGACAACCAAGTTTAGGGCTATCTTTGGCTTTACCTCTCTTGTCCATCTTTGTAATCACCTGAGGGTGAAGCCTTCCAAATCTTCTGGGGATGCCTGTCTCAGCTTCTGGCCTGAGACACTAATGGCTCTGAACTTCACCTAGAGAATACACCCCATGGAAAAGGTTTCCAGTTTTAAGCCATACATCATGCTTATATACTTCAGGTGAGAGCAGTGTTTCCACATAGGCTCAACAGTTGTAATATATGCACCCCTGTTTTGCAGGATGGTAGTAATGGGAGAGGCTGTGCATGTGGGTGGGGTTAGAAATATGGAAAATCCATGTACTTTTTTTAAAAATCAGTTTTGCCATGCACTTAAAACTATTTTAAAAAACAAAGTCTGTTCAAAAAACCAACCAAACAAAAAAGAAAAGAATTAAGAAAAACAAGTAAACAACCCTTTCCCCCCAAAAAAACCAGATATCTCACCAATATCTTTTTTGGGGAAAGAATTTTATTCAATTAATCCTTCCTAATCAGGGGAGGGATTTGCTGCTTAAGGCAGAACAGAACGTCCTTGATGCTGCTCATTACAGCCCAAAGCTGAGCTGCAGGGCGGAGTCACCTCATCACTTGCTCCTGAGATTGTCCCCAGGAAACACACAGAAGCCCAGAAAGGGAGATAATGCCCCATCTTAATTTGGTTGACTTCTGTTCGAGAGATCAAGGTTTCCAATCAAACTCCATGATTACGAGTGGATTCCTCCCTGGCTCTGATCATAGATGAAGTCTTTGCATTGTAAAATGGCTTTCAGCACTTTTATTCTCCTCCCAGGAAGTCTGGTCCAGGTTGAATTAACCTTGTTTGAGATTCAGAAAGGACAGGAACACCTTGCAAAGAGATTCCCAAAGTTCTGGGAGGTCCCTAAAATTCTATTTCCTTATCTCTGCGTGTTCACTTATGAAAGTTCACTAGTCTTAGGATATTTGCACTTTTCTATTTGTATATCATTAAACCACTAGAGTCAGTGCTTCAGCCAAAGGCCCTAGAGTTAATTGTCACTGTCCCCAAACACACAAGGAGGATGCTTCTCCCACAGGGGCTTCTTCCTTCTGCTCAGGAAGGTCTCATTCAGTGGGCCCTTGAAGTACTTGCAGGCTTTGCACACTGAGGGTCCCTGGTGCTGGCTGACATGACATGATGCTTTAGAATTTTGCAAATGACAGGGATGGAGCTAATGATGATGAATCACAAAGCACTTTCTAGTCCTTTTCCCCATCTGTTACTTCCTCTGACCCACAGTTGCCTTTATAGACTTGAATTCATTCTAATAGGCAGGAAACCAAAGTTAAGGACATTCAATAAGGTCATCAAGAAATAGGTGGTGAAGGTTGGAACTCTTTTCAGCCTGATTTTCCCGGGTCCCAGAGGCTGTGCAGGGGCCATGCCCCAAGCATGGGGTGAGGGCACATGGTCATAGTGTAGGTGGGCCTCTGGTTGTGTTCATCTGGCTCAGATGCCTGATGTTGGTTCTGTCAGTGTCTGGGAGCTGTCCTGTTAATCACAGGATATCTGGGCAGCCAATTCCACTTTGGTTTCTCTCCTGTGCCAGGCTCCATCCTTGCGCCTGTCTGGCACTTCACAGATGTGGGAGGGCTCTCTCCTCCACCATCTAAAGTGAACCAATTTCTCTTTCACTCGGGAACAAGTTTTCTCCTAAGTGGGTCTGTGCTGGTGTGTCTCGTCTCACTGAAGCCCTGCATTGGCAGCCCTCTGAGGGGAGCGTGAAGGATGCTAAATGAGCTCCATTGATGTTACACCTGAGACATGTTTATGTTATAAATGGGTACAAATTGAATTTGGCTTTAGGTGATGTATGATGTCTGTCATGTTTTCCCCCACGGTAGGACAGTTAGAGGAGAGCTCATTTATTTCAGGTTGGGCATTTCCAAGCCTTTGGTGTGTTTGGGATTGCCATTTGTCCCCTCTGCAGTTTCTAGGATGAAGCTGGCAGTGTACCCGGGCTGCCAGGAAGTTGGCCTTGAGAACCAGGCTGTTTTGCTCAGGCTGCCCCATACCCAAGGTGCTTACCCAGGATGCTACGTGGCCCTGGTCACCAGATGTGCATTTGCTTTCTTTTGGATCCTAAAGACCTGGCTTGGAGTCAAACAGACCTCTTTTTCTATATGGTGTTACTACTTATTAGCTATCACACTAGCTGGATGGCTTGAAGCAAGCCACATACTTTTATAGACCTCCTGCTTTATTTGTGAAAGAGAAAGGGTGCTAAGGTCTACCCAGAGAGTCTCTGGGAGAATTAAGAGGACAGTCTGAAAAGGGTCAAGTAAGAAGGATGTCCCATACATGTTAATTGTTCTTATTTATAAACTGAGAGGATGGATTCCAACTGCTTACCCCTCTGGTTAGGGTGTGGTATTGTTGGAATGGGGCTAGGGTCATGGGCAGGAAAGGGTGAAGGACTGTTTTGAAGATCCCCAGACCTCCAGGAGCCCCAATTTTTGCCTTTCCTTAATCCTAATACCCCCACAAAACGCTGACTACCTTGTGAAAGGATGTGGCTAAGGCACTGGGAGACTGTTAGGGAGATACCATCATGCTTCCGGGGCCTGTGTCTATGCAGAGGAAGTTGGGGTGAAGGGGCAGCTGTGGGACAGGGCTTACAATTGTCAGCACTGGGGTTGGGGGCATGCAGGGATCTGTAGACTGCTCTGTGGTGCAGAGACCAAACCTGATCCAGATGTGACCCTGAGTGAGTTTTGAAGCAGCAGTGCAACTGCTAATCCAGCAGATCCTGCTGCCCATCTCCCTTCCTCTGTGTTCCCCCAGACAGAAGTCTGTACCTCCACCAGAAGCACCTTCTTGTGTAATAAGGGCCACTGTGTCCTTGATTGTCCTTACTGTTTGGCATCCACTGTGAGGTCTACTGAGGGTTCATTCTGATTTAGGCTTTTTGAAGTCCTCACCCACATGTCTTTTGCAGGGGGTTCATTATGGACTGGATGTGTATGCTCTCTTAGAGTTAAAACTAGTACAGGAAAATATATGAGTTCATCAT